TGAATTCAAGCGATTGACACATTGCCATGAATACACTTGATAACTGCTTGTAGACTTCCAATGGACATTGTTTATGTTTGGACTGTTGAAACAATAGCAAAATAAAGGGTTGGGCAACTACTCTTTTGTTTAGGCTTGGGAAGAACAATGCAAGCTTTTTACAAATAATTTCAGCTGGAAGTACGTTGGTGGGCGGGTGTTGAGAGTTACTGGGCGGCCGTAAAACTTGATGGGCGGGCCGCCCGCCTAAAACCCCTTGTGGAGAACACTGAATGCGCTTGTCTAATGGAAATCACAAGTGTGAGTTTTGACCTGCACTAATAACTGCCGGCGACTCCTTTGACACCTTCCATTCATCAAAGAAATTACCAAATTAAAACTTAGTAATGGCTCAGTTTGTACTCATTGGTCTGTGCAACCGTCAAAGACGCCATCTTTCTTCAGATATGACCAATATCTTGTGCATACATTGTGCAATAACCACCACTCTGATGACTATTCTGTCTAGTCTTTCATATATGTCACCTCATTTGAATCGGTTACATATAAAAGTTCACACATTCTTGAAGTTCATTGAAGGCTCTTTCCAAACTTAAAAAAATGAAATATGAAGTTATGGTGTTCGCAAGTTACCGGTACTAGTATACTGATCAGAAGCTGATGTATTGTGCCATTTATTAAAGTTATTTATTGACTTCACTACAATAATTTTGTCATGTACTGTTTGAATTCTGTTTTGGGTGCACACTCAACGTAGTAGACCTAGGAAGCACAAAATGTTTGATGTCCACAGTTTTGACGCAGTGGCAATGGGAGTAAAATAGTCATTTCTATTCCTATTCAAAAAGGATAGACATATAATGGCTATACAGAAAACTATCAAACAACAATGTGTGTCTCATTGCATTGTAAATGCAAAATGCTTCACATGGAATAATACTGCTTGTTCGTCAAAACAAAGATTCCTGCATGTTCTTCACTGTCTTGATGACACCCTAAGATGCTGAAAACTTAATCACAACCGAATCTACACAACTGCTCGATTATATTCGGCTACTGGCAAGACACTTCTAATGTGGCTAGCTTGTACATGGCATAATTTGCATGTGGAATATTCCTTTGTCATATTAATTTAGTGTTTTGTTTTCACAAAAATCCTATCATTGTTGCAATGAGAGAATGCTGATGTTCATACAAATTTTAGATCAATACATGTACATGCCTTGTGGATAAAGATGATACATACCTTCATATCTTTAAACATATGCAAATAAATAACAAAGATATTCATGTTTATTGTCATCAAGTACATCACTGCATTGTTATTATTTCTCGCTTAGAGCAATCAAGACAATTGTGACTGATGCCCCGCTTACGTCAGTGGACTTCATGAATGATGGTGTATCATTTGCTGTTGGTAGTTCCCGTGGTCAAATTAAACTCTTTGATTTACGAATGAGTGCATCGCCCAAAAGTGAAATACAGGCACATAAATCATCTGTGCAGTGTCTTGCATATCAGACTAATTCCAATAAAGTAAGTATTTACTTGACTGAGTTTTCTCAACTCAGCTCAGTGTCTTGCATATCAGACTGCTTCCAATAAAGGAAGTATTTACTGAATTCTCTCAGTTCAGCTGTATATCGGCCTAACATAGTTAGCAAGGACTTTTTTAAACAAGGGAACAGGGCACAGCGCCCTCATGCCATGGCCATGTGCCCCCTTACCCTGGGGAGCAGATCCTCTGGCAACCATAAAATTCTGATTGACCAGGGATCACATGTGGCCACAGTCTTCAACTGTGACCTGTCTGATAGTAATTTTGGCCCCAAGGAAGCCATAGAATGCTTCATTGTAACTTAGAATTATCATCAACTCCACACTCTGGTAGGGAGAACCCTATTTCCCCCACTTGGTGGCGCCGCTGAATTGCAGTTCTCTCTCTTGCAGTTTTTTTCTAGAAAAAGCCCTGGTTAGTATTCACTGCTGTGTGTACAGTGTTATTATGTAGCTTTAGTTTGTATGTTAGCAGAAGGTATGTCCCACACGCTGAAGTATGGCACCAAACCATATAGCTAAGCAACTGTGTATGTCTAATTTAGCCAATAATCATGGTCACTAACAAGCATTCATTAAATTCTTTTCTTATTGATTGATTGATTGATTGATTATATCTGACTTAGAAATAAGATCATAAAATTGTTATATATATTGTTAGAAAACAATCACAATTTACCAATCCATCATCACAGATATTAACACAACAGAAACTCACACAAGTTAAATTGAGTCATGACAGTGCCTGAATGAATGGAAACCATAAAAAACAAGATTTATCAAAGCATGGTCAGCCTGCACGTTTGTGATTGCAGCCCTTAGTTGCAGTGTGATGATTTTTGTCACCTTGCCCTTTACAGAATGACACAATAAGTAACAAAACAAGAAGAACCAATGTTACATCAACCGTTAACAGTCGAAAAGTACCGCCAGTGATTGGTGTAGACTCCGGTAAAGCCGAATCAGACAGTGCTGAGAGTGAACAAGAGAATATTGACTATGGGAATAAACCCACTAGACAGACTGCACCTGTCACTTCCAATGATGAAGTCTTCTCTCCCCTTAGTAAGTCATCACTATTGTAATCCTCGTATAGTTGAAATGCTGGTCATCTCATGCTGGAGAATCTATTGTGACAGCGATGCTGGCCATCCTGTGCTGTAGCATGCGTTGGTGACAGCAATCCTGGCCATCCTGTGCTGTAGCATGCGTTGGTGACAGCAATCCTGGCCATCCTGTGCTGTAGCATGCGTTGGTGACAGCGATGCTGGCCATCCTGTGCTGTAGCATGCGTTGGTGACAGCAATCCTGGCCATCCTGTGCTGTAGCATGCGTTGGTGACAGCAATCCTGGCCATCCTGTGCTGTAGCATGCATTGGTGACAGCAATCCTGGCCATCCTGTGCTGTAGCATGCGTTGGTGACAGCAATCCTGGCCATCCTGTGCTGTAGCATGCGTTGGTGACAGCAATCCTGGCCATCCTGTGCTGTAGCATGCGTTGGTGACAGCAATCCTGGCCATCCTGTTCTGTAGCATGCGTTGGTGACAGCAATCCTGGCCATCCTGTGCTGTAGCATGCGTTGGTGACAGCAATCCTGGCCATCCTGTGCTGTAGCTTGCGTTGGTGACAGCAATCCTGGCCATCCTGTGCTGTAGCATGCATTGGTCACAGCAATCCTGGCCATCCTGTGCTGTAGCATGTGTTGGTGACAGCAATGCTGGCCATCCTGTGCTGTAGCATGCGTTGGTGACAGCAATGCTGGCCATCCTGTGCTGTAGCATGCGTTGGTGACAGCAATCCTGGCCATTCTGTGCTGTAGCATGCGTTGGTGACAGAAATCCTGGCCATCCTGTGCTGTAGCATGCGTTGGTGACAGCAATCCTGGCCATTCTGTGCTGTTGCATGTGTTGGTGACAGCAATCCTGGCCATTCTGTGCTGTAGCATGCGTTGGTGACAGCAATCCTGGCCATTCTGTGCTGTAGCATGCGTTGGTGACAGCAATCCTGGCCATCCTGTGCTGTTGCATGTGTTGGTGACAGCGATGCTTTCCATCCTGTGCTGTAGCATGTGTTGATGACAGAAATCCTGGCCATTCTGTGCTGTAGCATGCGTTGGTGACAGCAATCCTGGCCATTCTGTGCTGTAGCATGTGTTGGTGACAGCAATCCTGGCCATTCTGTGCTGTAGCATGCGTTGGTGACAGCAATCCTGGCCATTCTATGCTGTAGCATGCGTTGGTGACAGCAATCCTGGTTATCCTGTGCTGTAGCATGCGTTGGTGACAGCGATGCTGGCCATGCTGTGCTGTAGCATGTGTTGGTCACAGCATGTAGATGTAGAGATGTTTTATGTCAATGAGTTCATTATATCATCTGATTGTTCAGCATTTTAGTGACCTTCATATTTGTATCCAATCTATCTTGGTAGTGATGCTTGTGTACCACACAGTTGATTATATTGGTGTATTTTTCTTTACAAGGTAACAATGATCATTACAAGAATCATTACACTCCCGAGACGTACAAGATAATACCCACAGCCAAGGATGATGTGAAAGAAGTCAACGATCCAAGTAGGTGCAATGCCCAATCACATGTTACTCCAAATAAATGTATTAAAAACAAAGAAAACTGTAATTAATG